TTCAGGATTTTGGTGTCTATGTTCATCAGGGATATTGGCCTGTAGTTTTCTTTCTTCGTAGTGTCTTTTTCTGGTTTTGGAATTAGAATTATGCTGGCCTCATAGAACGTGTTTGGAAGTCTTCCTTCTTCTTGAATTTTTTGAAATAGTTTGAGGAGAATGGTGTTAGTTCTTTTTTGAATGTTCGGTAAAACTCCCCTGTGAAGCCATCTGGGCCTGGGCTTTTGTTTGCTGGGAGAGTCTTGATTACCTCTTCAATTTCCTTAGTTGTTATTGGTCTGTTCAAGTTTTCTATCTCTTCCGGGAATAGTTTTGGGAGACTGTGTGTTTCTAGAAATTTGTCCATTTCGCTTAGATTGTCAAATTTGTTGCCATATAGTTTTTCGTAGTAGTTGTTAACGATCTTTTGTATTTCCATGGTGTTGGTTGTTACTTCTCCTCTTTCATTTCTGATTTTGTGTATTTGGGTTCTCTCTCTTTGTTTCTTGGTGAGTCTAGCTAAGGGTCCATCAATCTTGTTTATCTTTTCAAAAAACCAGCTCTTTGTTTCATTGATCCTTTGAATTGGGTTTTTTTTTTTTTTTTTTTTTTTTTTTTTGTCTCTATGTCATTTATTTCTGCTCTGATCTTTACTATTCCCTTCCTTCTACTTGCTCTGGGGTTTTCTTTTGCTTTGCTTTCTAATTCTTTAAGTTGTGAGGTTAGACAGTCAATTAGAAATTTTTTTTTTTTTTTTTTTTATCCTCACCCGAGGATATTTTTCCATTTTTTGTACAGATAGAGTGGGAGGGAGAGAGAGGAAGGGAGAGAGAGAGAGACACATCGACGTGAAGGGACACATCGAGTGGCTGCCACCCGCACGACCAACCAGGGCCGGGGACAAACTGCAACCGAAGTACGTGCCCTTAGCGGGAACCGAACCCGGGTCTCTCCGGACCGCAGGCCGACGCTCTAACCGCTGAGCCAAACCGGCCAGGGCCAATTAGAAATTTTTCTTGTTTTTTGAGGTAGGCCTGTAGTGCTATGAACTTCCCTCTCAGAACTGCTTTCGCTGCATCCCATAGATTTTGTGTTGTTGTGTCTTCATTTTCATTGGTTTCCAGGAAGTTTGTAATTTCTTCCTTGATCTCCTTGGTGACCCATTCATTGTTTAATAACATGCTATTTAGCCTCCATGTGTTGAAATGTCTTTGCATGTTCTTGTTGCAATTGACTTCTAGTTTCATGCCATTGTGATCTGAGAAGATGCTTGGTATGATTTCAATCTTCTTGAACTTGTAGAGATTTAGTTTGTGTCCTATCATGTGGTCTATCTTTGAGAATGTCCCATGTGCACTTAAGAATGTGTATTCTGTAGTTTTGTGGTGTAATTCTCTGTAGATATCTATTAAATCCATTTGGTCTAGTGCTTCATTTAGAGTCTCTGTTTCCTTGCTAATTTTTTGCCTAGAGGATCTATCCAGTGTTGTCAACGGGGTGTTGAAGTCCCCTGCTATGATTGTATTGTTGATGATTTCTTCTTGGAAGTCCTCCAGAAGATTTTTAATATATTTTGGTGCTCCTATATTGGGTGCATATATGTTTATTAAGGTTATATCTTCCTGTTGGATAGATCCTTTAAATATTATGTAGTGGCCGTCTTTGTCTCTAGTTATGGTCTTCATTTTGAAATCTATTTCATCAGATATGAGAATTGCTACCCCAGCTTTTCTTTCTTTCCATTAGCTTGGAAAATTTTTTTCCATCCCTTCACTTTCAACCCATGTGAGTCTTTTGTTGAGAGGCGGGTCTCTTGTAAACAACATATAGAAGAGTCCTGCTTTCTTATCCAATCAGCTACTCTGTGTCTTTTTATGGGAGCATTCAATCCATTTGCGTTTAAGGTGATTATTGATATGTACTTATTTATTGCCATTTTTGTTTAGTGTGGTTCTATTTTTCTTCCCATTTCTACTGCTAATTACAGCAGTCTTTTTAACATTTCTTGCAGTGCTGGTTTGGTGCTAATGTATTCCCTTAGTCTTTTTTTTTGTCTGGGAAGCTCTTTATTTGATCTTCTATTTTGAATGATAGCCTTGCTGGGTAGAGTAGTCTTGGATTCAGATTCTTGTTTTTCATTACTTTGATTACTTCATTTCATTCTCTTCTGGCCTGTAGTGTTTCTTGTGAGAAGTCAGCTGAGAGCCTTATGGGTTTCCCTTTGTAGGTAACCTGTTGCTTATCTCTTGCTGCTTTTAGGATTCTCTCTTTGTCTTTAATTTGTGGCATTTTAATTACTATGTGTCTTGGTGTGGGCCTGTTTGGGTTGTTACTTGGGACTCTCTGTGCTTCTTGAACTTGAATGCTTGAATGCCTTCTTCCTTCAAATTAGGGAAGTTTTCTCTCACTATTTTTTTTTAATATATTCTCTATGCCTTGCTCATTTTCTTCTTCTTCGGGGACTCCTATGATGCAAATATTATTTACGTTTCCAGTTGTCCCATAGTTCTCTTAAGCTGTCTTCCTGTTTTTAAATAGTTTTTTCCTTTTGTTTTTCTGATTGGTTGATTTTTTCTACCCTGTCTTCTAATTCACTGATCCGATCCTCAGCTTCCTCTACTCTGCTTTTTAAACCTTCCAATGTGTTTTTCATTTCTGATATGTCATTTTTTTATCTCTTCTTGTTGGTTTTTAACTTCCAATTGGCTTATTTTCAGTGTCTCTATGTCCTTACTCATGTGTTCAGCTTCCTCAAGATCATGGCTCTGAATTCTAGCTCTGTTAACATGTCTAATTGCTCCACATTGATCTCATCTTCGGTGGACGTATCTTGCTCTTTCATTTGGCTTCTGTTTCTGTGTTTCACCATTTTGGCTATCACTGTGGGCTTTGGAGCCTGTCAAGTTTTCCCTGTGGGTGTTGGTGTTCTGCTGTTTGTGGCTCCCTCTCCTGTGTTTAGATGAGCGAGGGAGGACCCACGTTGAACACCACTGTCAAGTCTTACTTTCCTGGTTAAAGTTACCAGCCCAGGAAAGGTACTGTTATCCTCTAGCTTTTTGCCTGAGGCTAGCAGTCCAGGTTACTTGAAGAGTTTTGGGTTGTCAGTTGATTGAAAAACTCCCTCAGGTGCTCAGCACAAGGAGCTTTCAGGAGGGTGGGGCAGATGCTGGTTTTTAGTGAGCCTCAATTAGCACTTCAATGGCCCACAGGGTGGGGTTGGATCTCAGAGGGAGGGGCTGCTGCCTCTCTCAGAGCCCTGGGAAGGAGCAATGTGGCCACTGCCCTGCGTGGCTGCACTCAGCCAAAGCTCTGAGCTCCCTCCAGATCCCGAGTGTCCCGACACAGCTCCAGTCCAGTCTGCTCTCCCTCTGCCGGAGCCCAAGGTGAGTGGCTGTGGCTGTTTCAGCCTCTGTCCTGGCTCTGCGCTGTGGAGCCGCCTGGGAGTGTAACCCGAGGGCGCTGCTCCCAGCTGAGGCCGCTGTCGAGCTGCCGACCGTGGGCTCCCAGCCCCTGTCTTGCGTCTTCGCAAGCCTACCAGGATGGAGTCAGTGTCCCTCGTTATATGATCCTCGCAAGCTGATTTTCTGTTGGTTTTTCCCTTCGATTTGTCTGTTTTATAGTTGTAATTCCAGTTTGGTTCTGGGATGGTCTGTGTAGCTTCCGTTCACTCCGCCGCCATTTTTCCGGCTCCTTAAAAAATTTTTTAAAAATTTTCTGGTCTGTGTAATGAAAAGTCCTATAAAGAATTCCAACCCAGTAGCAATGAGTAACTCCTGGCTCCCAGATTGTGGTCTTAAAATGTTGTTCCAATGGAGTACTATGCAGCTGTAAGAAAGAAAGATCTCTTATCCTTTGAGACAACATGGAGGGACCTGGAAAGTATTATCCTAAGTGAAACAAGCCAAACAGAGAACGACAAGTATCATATGATCTCACTTATTTGTGGAATATAATGAACATAACAGTCTGAGGAATGGGATAGTCCCAGAGATGTGGAAGTGGGGTACAGACTGACAATCCCCAAAAGGAATGGGATAGTCCCAGAGATGTGGAAGTGGGGTACAGACTGACAATCCCCAAAAGAGGGGGTGGTGGGGGAGAGATAAACCACAGAACTTATATTCATGTATGCATGAACAGTGGACATGGACAACAAACTGGGGAAAGGGCAGGGAGGGAGAGGGAGGGGGAATCAGTGGGGGGGGAAAGGAGAAACATCTGTAACAAAAATTAATTAATTAATTAATTAATAAAAAAATATGTTGTTACACACACACACACACACACACACAGCTCCTTGGAAAAATGGATAACTCTAGGTCTAAGGGGGAGATTTGGAAGGTGAACCTGAATCATCTTGTCTCCCCAGATAGCTAGGGTGCTGTTAAAGACCACGAGAATTCACACCCAAACTAAAGAGGTCAAAGGAGATGAGATAGTTTGAAAACCAATGTGACCAATATCTCTGATGCATCAAAACACAACACCATCCACTTACATCTATGAGTTTATTATTATTTAAAAAACAAAAAAGAGTGTATACCATCCTCCCTTCACTGAAGCCTCAGTTAGTTAAAACAACAACAACAACAACAACAAAACATCAGAGATTCTACAAAATGGTGGTGGACTGAATGGAAGCTATACAGACCATCTTCCAGGACCAAACTGGAATTACAACTAAAATAAAGACAAATGATCAGGAAAAAGCAACTGAAAAGAAGCTTGCGATAACCACATAACCAAAGACACTGAATCGATTCTGGTAGAATTGTGGATGTGCAAGAGGGGGACTGAGAGCCCACAGACAGCAGGGGTCTTAGCTGTGACCAGTGCCCTCAAGGTTTAAATCCCAAGTCTGCTCCACAGCACAGAGAACCAGGACAGAGCGCTAAATTACCTATAGCCACTTACCTTGGGCTCTGGCAGAAGGAGGGTGGACTGAACTGGAACTGTGTGAAGATACTCAGGATATGGAAGGTGCTCAGAGCTTTTGCAGCATTGCAGCCACACAGGATGGTGGTCATCTTACTCCTTCCCTGTGCTCTGGGGAAAGGTGGTGGCCCCTCCCTGAAACATTCAACCCCACCCAGGTGAGACAAAAATGCAAATTGAAGCTCATTTACAACCAGCATCTGACCCACCCTCAGGAAATCATCTTATGCTCAACATCTGAGGAAGTTTTTTATTCAACTCAAAACCAAAGGCTCTTCAAGTAACAGAAACTAATAGTGTCCAGGAAAAAAGCTAGAGGATAACTGAATCATTCCTGGACTTGCAAATCTACCCAGGAAAGTAAGACTTGACAGTGGTGTTTAACATGGGTCGTCCTATGCTCATCCAAACCTAGTAGAGGAAGCCACAAACAGTAGAAGACCAACACCCACAGAGAAAATTTGACAGGCTCCCAAACCAACTGAGATAGCCAAATTGATGAAAAAAAAAAAAGAAAGAAAGAAACAAATCCCAAAGAAAAAAACAAGAGACCTCTACCAAAGATGAGATAAATAAAATGCAGTTAAGCAAGTTATCAGAGGTAGAGTTCAGAGCCATTATCTTAAGGAAGATCAACAGCATAAGTAAGGACCTCAACAGCATGAGTAAAGATATAGAAGCATTAAAAACCAACCACATGGAAATGAAGAATGACAGAGCATAAATAAATAACACAATGGACGGACTAAACAGCAGAGTAGAGGAAGCTGAGGACCAAATCAGGGAATTTGAAGACAGGGTAGAAAAAATCAACAAATCAGAAAACCAGAAGTAAAGAACAATTATAAAATAGAAAGACAGCTTAAAAAAACTGGGGGACAAATGAAAACATAATAATATTTGCATCATAGGATTCCCCAAAGAGAAGAAAATGGGCAAGGGTTAGACAATATATTTGAAGAAATAGTGACAGAAAACTCCCATAATTTGGTGAAGGAAGAAGGCATTAAAGTTCACGAAGTACAGAGAGCCCCAAGTAAGAAAAACTCAAAGAGGCCCACACCAAAACAAATAATAATTAAAATGCCAAAAATTAAAGACAATGAGAATCCTAAATGTAGCAAGACATAAGCAACAGCTTACCTACAATGGAACCCCCATAAGGCTCTCAGCTGACTTCTCAACAGAAACACTACAGGCCAGAAGGGAATGGCATGAAGTAGTCAAGGTAATGAAAAACAAATATCTGAATTCAAGACAACTCTACCCAGCAAGGCTGTCATTCAAAATAGAAGGTCAAATAAAGGTTCGGTTCCGCTAAGGGCGCGTACCTCAGTTGCAGTTTGTCCCCAGCCCTGGTCGGTCGTGCGGGTGGCAGCCACTCAGTGTGTTCCTTTCACATTGATGTTTCTCTCTCTCTCTCTGTTCCTCTCTCTCTCTCCCACTCTACCTGAACAAAAAATGGAAAAAATGTCCTCAGGTGAGGATAAAAATAAATAAGTAAATAAATAAATAAATAAATGGACTGCTGTAATTAGTAGAAGAAATGGGAAGAAAAATATAACCACAATAAACAAAAAAGGCAATAAATAAGTACATATCAATAATCACCTTAAATGTAAATGGATTGAATGCTCAGATCAAAAGACACAGAGTAGTTGCCTGGATAAGAAAGCATAACTCATTTATATATTGTTTACAAGAGACTCATCTCACAACAAAAGACTCACATAGGTTAAAAGTGAAGGGATGGAAAAGAATCTTCCAAGCAAACAGAGAAGGCCACTACATAATACTGAAAGGATCTATCCAACAGGAAGATATAACCTTGGTAAACATATATGCACCCAATATAGGAGCACCAAAATGTATTTAAAATCTTCTGGAGGATTTCAAAAGAGAAATCGACAGCAATACAATCATAGCAGGGGACTTCAACACCCTGCTGACATCACTGGATAAATCCTCTAGACAAAAAATTAACAAAAAAACAGAGACTCTAAATGATGCACTAGACCAAATGGATTTAATAAATAACAGAGAATTACACCCCAAAACTACAGAATTCACATTCTTCTCAAGAGCACATGGGACATTCTCAAAGATAGACCACACGTTAGGACACAAACTAAGTCTCTACAAGTTCAAGAAGATTGAAATCATATCAAGCATCTTCTCAGATCACAACAGCATGAAACTAGAAATAAATTGCAAAAAGAACATTCAAAGATATGTGAACACATGGAGACTAACTAGCATGTTATTAAACAATGAATGGGTTACCAAGGAGATCAAGGAAGAAATTAAAAATTTTCTGGAAACCAATGAAAATGAACACACAACACAAAATCTATGGGATGCAGTGAAAGCATTCCTGAGAAGGAATTTCATAGCACTCCAGCCCTACATCAAGAAACAAGAAAAATTTCTAATAGACTATCTAACATCACAGCTTAAAGATCTAGATAGCAAACAAAAAGAAAACCCAGAGAAAGTAAAAGAAATAGTAAAGATCAGAGCAAAAATAAATGACATAGACACCCCCCCCCCCCAAAAAAAAAACAAAAAAACAAAACAAAACAATGCAAAGAATCAATGAAAGAAAGAGCCGGTTTTTTGAAAAGGTAAACAAGACTGATGAACCCTTAGCTAGACTCATCAAGAAACCAAGAGAACCCAAATACACAAATTAAAAAGTGAAAGAGGAGAAATAACAACTGACACCACAGAAATACAAACATTGTTAGCAAATACTATGAACAATTAAATGGCAACAAATTCGACAATCTAAGTGAAATGGACAAATTTTTAGAAACACACAGTTTCCCAAAACTGGAGCGGGAAGATATAGAAAACATGAACAGACCAATAACAACTAAGGAAATTGAAGATATAATCAAGACTCTCCCAGTGAACAAAAGCCCAGTCCTGAATGGCTTCACAGGGGAGTTTTACCGAACATTCAAAGAAGAACTAACATCCATTCTTCTCAAACTATTTCAAAAAATTCAAAAAATTCAAACCCATTTTATGAGCCCAGCATAATTATAATTCCAAAACCAGAAAAAGTCACTACAAATAAATAAAAAAAACTACAGGCCAATAGCCCTGATGAACATAGACTTCAAAATCCTGAACAAAATACTAGCAAATCTGATCCAGCAATACATAACAAAAATAGCCCTGGCCATTTTGGCTCAGCGGTTAGAGCATTAGCTTGTGGTCCAGAGAGACATGAGTTTGGTTGCCGCTAAGAGCACGTACCTTGGTTGCAGTTTGACCCCGGCCCTGGCTGGTCACGTGGGTGGCAACCACTTGATGTGTCCCTTTCATGTTGATGTTTCTCTCTCTCTCTCTCTCTCTCTCTCTCTCTCTCTCTCTCTCTCTCCCTCTCTCTCTCTCTTTCTCACTAGCCCTCCCACTATGTATGAACAAAAAGTGAAAAAATGTCCTCGGGTGAGGATAAAAAAAAAATTATTCACCATGACCAAGTGGGATTCATTTCAGAGATGCAAGGCTGGTACGATATTTGCAAATCGATAAATGTGATACACCACATAAATAAAATGAAGACTAAAAACCACACGATCATATCAATTAATGCTGAAAAAGCATGCGACAAAAATCCAGCACCCATTTCTGATAAAAATGCTCAGCTACCTGGGAATAGAGGGATCATATCTTGACACAATAAAGGCCACATATAAAAGACCTACAGCCAAAATCATACTCAATGGGCAGAAACTAAAGCATTTTCCTTAAGTACAGGAACAAGACAGGGATGGCCCTTTTGCAATGCTTATTTAACATAGTACTGGAAGTCTTAGCCACAGCAATCAGACATGAAGAAAAAATAAAAGGGATCCAAGTTGGAAAGGAGGAAGTGAAACTGTCCTTATTTGCACATGACATGATATTATACATAGAAAACCCTAAAGACTCCATCAAAAATGTACTAGACTTAATAAATGAATTTGGCAAAGTAGCAAGATACAAAATTAACGTCAAGAAACCGATGGCACCAATCGGTTCTTATACACCAATGATGAACTCACAGAAAAAGAAACTTAAAAAACAATCTCATTTACCATCATGGCAAAAAAATTAAAATACCTAGGAATAAACTTAACCAAAGAAATAAAGGACCTATTTGCAGAAAATTATAGGTCATTGAGAAAAGAAATAGTGGAAGATATAAAAAAGTGGAATGATATAACTTGTTCATGGATTGGAAGAATTAACATTATTAAAATGTCCATATTACCCAAAGCAATCTATAGATTCAATGCAATCCCCATCAAAATATCAATGACATATTTCACAGAACTAGAACAAATCCTTCAAAAGTTCATTTGAAACAAAAAAAGACCCTGAATAGCCACAGCAATCTTGAAAAAGAAGAACGAAGTAGTTGGGATCACAATTCCAGATACAGGTTATACTACAAAACTACTGTAATCAAAACAGCCTGGTACTGGCACAAGAACAGGCATATGGACCAGTGGAACAGAACAGGGAACCCAGAAATGGACCCAAGACATTATGCTCAATTAATATTTGACAAAGGAGGCAAGAGCATACAGTGAAGTAAAGACAGCATCTTTAATAAATGGTGTTGGAAAAATTGGACAGCTACATGCAAAAAAATGAAACTAGACCATCAACTTACACCCTACACAAGAATAAACTCAAAATGGATAAAAGACTTAAATGTGACCCGTGAATCCATAAAAATTCTGGAAGGAAATGTAGGCAACAAAATTTCAGACATCATACGCAGCAGAATTTTCACTGATACATCACCTAAGGCAACAGAAGCGAAGGAGAAAATGAACACATAGGACTACATCAAACTGAAAAGCCTCTGCACAGCAAAAGAAACCACCACCAAAATGGAAAGGGAACCTACTGTATGGGAGAGCATAATTGGCAATGATACATCAGATAAAGGGTCAATTTCCAAACTATATAGAGATCTCATACAACTCAACAAAAGGAAGACAAAGAACCCAATGAAAAAATGGGCAGAGGAGCCAAACAGACACCTCTCCAATCAGGACATACAAATGGCCAAGAGACATATAAAAAAATGCTCCACATTACTAATCATCAAAGAGATGTAAATTAAAACAACAATGAGGTATCACCTCACACCTGTTAGAATGGCTGCCATCAACAAAGCATCAAATAACAAGTGTTGGCGAGGGTGTGGAGAGAAGGGGACTCTAGTACACTGCTGGTGGGAATGCAGTCTGGTGCAGCCACTATGGAAACACTATGGTGTTACCTTAAGAAATTAAAATTTGAATTGCCATTTGACCCAGTGATCCCACTTCTAGGAATATACCCTAAGAAGCCTGAAACCCAATCAGAAAGAATATATGTACCCCCATGTTCATAGCAGCACTATTTACTATAGCTAAGATCTGAAAAAAGCTAAAGTGTCCATCATCAGACAAATGGATAAAAAAGCTGTGGTACATATGCACAATGGGGTACTATGCAGCTATAAGAAAGAAAGATCTCTTATCTTTTGAGACTACATGGATGGACCTAGAGAGTATTATCCTAAGCAAAACAAGCCAAGCAGAGAAAAACAAATATCACATGATCTCACTTATTTGTAGAATATAATAAACTTAACAGTCTGAGGAACAGGGTAGACCCAGAGACATGGAAGTAGGGTACAGACTGACAACCCTCAGAAAAGGTGTTGGGGGTGAGGGAAAAGATAAACCACAGAACTTATATGCATGTACACATCACTGATGGACATGGACAACAAAGCTCAGGATGGGGTGGGAGGAATGGGGAGGAGGGAGTAAATGGGGAAAAAAGAAGAATCATCTGTAACAAAAATAACTGAATTAAATAATAAAGAACTTGAATCAAAATACATGGATACAACCATCATATAGTTGAGTATATACACTGGACATTCTAGAATGTTTTAATTAGATACATAAAAAATATATAAGCATCTCAGTATATGTTCTTTTTAATAATTTGTGTCCTTAGAAAATGTACATTCTTTTCATGCTCATGTTTATTTATGTGACCTTGTAGCACCATGTATCAAATAAAACACACCTTTCATGTCTGAGAAAATACATGCAAATTTCTTCTGTAAAACAAACAAAACAAAAAACCAAACAGCAAACAAACAAAAAATAACTAGCCTCTATTTGGGGATGCTGAAGGACCACCTTGTTTTCTTGAAAATGAGAAAATCAATATAATAAAACATTTATTCACCTTTCCTATACAAATAACCAAATAGTAGATGAGGGGAAATTTTCTTCTGTTTTTACAGAAGTATTCCAGCTAATAAGTGAAGAAAACAATGGAGAAGCATTATTTTGCAACTTCTATCCAGTTAATGGATATATGCCTTGAACCTCAGTAACTGCTACTGAGAGAGAGAGAGAGAGAGAGAGAGAGAGAGAGAGAGAGAGAGAGAGAGAGAAAGCGCGAGAGAGCGTGAAAGCGCAAGCTTATGTATTTCATGATGGAAGAGTAAGTCACCAGCTATGAAATACTGCTTTCCCTCCACTTTCCCTTCACTTTCTGCTTAAAGAAGGCACCTGAATCTGATCAAGCTCCAGGTACAACTACCACTTGAGAGGGAACACAGAAGACTGAGGACCTTGTGAAACCACACGATGGGCATGCCATTAGCATATGGCGAAATGCTACAAGACAGCAGCCCAGTTCCTATCACGAATAAAGTGCAAGAGGGCCTTCAGATTGACGGACACTAAAAGACATGACAGTGAATCACAGGTGTGGTCCTTATTTAGATCTTGATTAAAGCAAACAAACTGTAAAAAGAGAAAATTATGATATTTTTCAGTCAATTGAAAAATTGAATATGACTGGATATTTGATATTTTGAGGAACTATATTTTACTGTTTAAAGGTGTGATAATGGTATTGCGATTGTGTGTGGCAAGACAAGGAACTCATTCTTTCAGAAACACATATTGAAACATTTACAGATTAAATGATGTCTCTGGGATTTCCTTAATAAGGAGGGGGGCTGTAGGGGTAGTAAAAAATAAAACAAAATTGCTTATGAGATAATAATTATTAAGACTGATGGGTTTGTGGGGCTTTATCCTTTTCTCTACTGTACTACTTTGGTGAAAATAGTGAAAAGTTAAAAAATAACTATATGTGAATAGTAAAACAATGAAAAGTTAAACATAACTATGTGAATAGTAAAAGCAAAAGAAAGAATCCCTAAGACTATTCAAATAAGTATTGAACCAATACATGCCTTTCTTTCTTTATCCTGAGGCTCATGGTGTTGAGGATCTGTCTGTCTATAGCTGCCCCTTCCCTCCAAAACAGAGGATTGCATATCTTGAATTAAATTGTGATGAATGTTGTATTTTTCTAACATTAAATAAAAAATTCTATACTATTTCAACCAACCAACTGCCACTTTATAAGTGCAATTAAAGAATTACAATGCAATTGTAATCCTTCTAATAGGTACAGGACTTGACAGTTTAATAAAAACTTTCATTTTATTTCATTCTCACCAAACCAAAGAATAAGTCAACTGAGCATTCTTAGTGCCATTTTTTTTATAGATGGGAAAAAACAAAAACATTCAAAGTCACGCAACTATTAATTAGCAGAAGTAGAATCCTTACTCTTTTGCTTTCTGTTTGGTTTTTATTTTCCACATAATGAAGTTTCTTAGAAAATCAAAGTAAATTTTAGTTTAAACAACACATCAAGATGAAAGCACTTTTTTTTTTTTTTTTATCCTCACCCGAGGACATTTTTCCATTTTTTGTTCAGGTAGAGTGGGAGAGAGAGAGAGGAAGAGAGAGAGAGAGAAACGTCGACGTGAAAGGGACACATCGAGTGGTTGCCACCCGCACGACCAACCAGGGCCGGGGACAAACTGCAACTGAGGTATGTGCCCTTAGCGGGAACCAAACCCAGGTCTCTCTGGACCGAGGCCGACCACTGAGCCAAACCAGCCAGGGCTAAAAGCACATTTTATTGTCTCATGAAATCAAGAAATTATGAAATCAAGGTTAATATGATGTACATGATAAAATTTTAATTTAAGAGCTAAGTTAGTTTACATGTAATTTTTTAAAATGTGACATAGTGTTTTCATTAATAGTAAGCATTCTCAAGGTTATCAAAACAATGAATATACTCTTTAAAATAAGAGAGACAAACTTTCCACTAACCAATTATAAGGTAATTGTGTATATTTATTAATAAGGAAAGTCATGTATTTAGTTCAGTTATAACCCCCAATTACTTTTGGCTTTGTTGTTTTATTATCTCTTTTTGACTTTACATATAATATTCTTGATATATTTTATCTGTGTGAGGTCCTGCACTCTTAAAGAATATGCCTACTACCAATGCCATGATTAAGCATCTTCCTAAATGTCCTAGCCAATGGGTAAAGATAAGAGAAGCAAATGAGAAGGTAGTGATGGAAAAGAAGAGGTAAATGCATCATTATTTCCAGAAGACAGAATAATCTCCTGGGTAACCTAAGGAATCAACTTAGAAACAATTCCAACTTATAAATGACTTCAATACTCTTCCTTTTGACCAGTAATAACCAGTTATAAAATAAATGAGGAAAAGTGTATTCAAAATATCAGGCAAAATATAAAATGTGGGAGTAAATTCAATCAGAAAAATAAGAACCTTTGTGAAGAAAACTATAGGACTGAACTTAAAAATTTTTTTTAAAAAAAGATGAATAAATGGAGGAATAAAATATTTCTAGAAATGACCACTGCAAATCTATAAAAATTTCCCAGTTAATCTATAGATGTAATATAATTCTAATCAAAATCTCAATGGTTTGAATGTATTTTGTTGTTGTTGTTTGTTTGTTTTGTTTCGGTAATAAGATGAAGAGTTCGTTGAAGGAATTTAACCAAATAATTTGTGAAATTTATCTTGAAAATTAAATGCAATCAAACAGCTTAATGGGTCTTGTTGTTATTTGAAAGGCAATGAGAGGAACTTACCATAATGAAAACAGTGTGATCTTGAAATGGAGTGGTATCCAGAGTCAGACCTAAAAGTAGATTAATTCAATATATGAAAACCATAACATCTTAATAAGTGGAAACAACTGGTTAACCCACTGTGGAAAAATAAAGTTTAATTCTTTCCTCAAACATTAAGTTAAATCCCAGATAGATTAATAAATTAAATGTAAAATTAGTGAACTACTAAACAACTTTCTCTGTCATAAACCACAGAGACAAGATTAACAGATTAGCTACATAAAATTCTTAGTCTTGTGTGCCTATTATCCCCCGTCACTCCAAATATGACAGTGAAACAAAATACAAACCCTCTTTTGATTTTAAGTAACAGTTACTGAACAACGAGTGGTTTAAGTAATAAAGATAATTCATTATCTCATATAACAAAACTTTGAAGGAAGGCGGTTCCAATATAGCAATTCACTGATATACCACGGAGCTATATTTTTCTATTTTTGTCTCCTTTAAGTGTGGGTTTTGCATGTTCCTGTGTGTCATCTTATATTGTAAAATGGCTGCCAGAGCTCCAGCCCTTAAATCCAAATTTAAGACAGGAATATGTGGGAAGGAACAGCACCAGCTTTTTTTTCTGTGAGAAGCGGCAGCATTCTCAGAACTCCCTCTGGCTGTTATCTGCGTATGTCTCAAGGGCTAGATTGGGGTCACAAGCCCACTCCTAGGTACAAAGAAAAGGAGGATTTCTCTTTGCAGTCCCCAGAGAAAAAGGCAGGCAGGCAATGGAGAAGGGGGTGGCAGTGGGTGACTGAACTAGTCAAGATTCACAAACAAATGTCAAACTAAGAAGAAACTACAGTATCTGAATATAGGTGACAAAAAGATGTATTCTTACTCTACAAAGAGTAAACAGATGAAAAATTATCTATCTCATCAGTAATGTAAGAAAGATTACATTAGGACTCTAATGTTCAGTTTTGCTTGTTTGTTGTAAGCTGCACTGCAATCCTTTTATTCATGCCGCCTTTCAATCAATCCTTTCCCTATAAGCAACACTGTTCTGATTTCTAGTATATATTATTTTATAATTTAAATATTGCTTAAAACTTAAATATAAGAAAATTCTCACAGGAGAACCCTACAACCAGCATAAGAAAATTACAACAAACAAGATGGAGCAAATTTGGCATAAAAGATACTGCTATTGTGGAATGGGGGACTTAAAATTCTGAGTTTTGTTTTGTTTTGTTTTGTTGTTGTTTTTAAAGATTTGAAAACTCTCATTCTGCATGCAATTCTTTTCATTTATTTGTATGCTCTCATGATTAAATATGTTTTCATACTATATTATATAAGAGTATACCATTTAGAAATAGAATTCCAGAAAGAAGAGATTTAAAGCCAGCCATTCATCTGGAAAAGTTAATTTTCTTCTCCTCTTTAGATCGGCTCTCTTTGGTGTCTAGTGGGGGAGAATCATTAATGTTCAAAAATTTATAATGAATATGGTTGGAAAAAATACCCAAGGCTTCTGCCCCCCTTAGGGGTCTTGCAGTCCATTGGAGAAGATAAGACATTTAAAAAAAAACTTAGTCCAGAGGACAAGATAGCACATTTACTTACTTACTTACTTACTTACTTAGTTATTTACTTTATTTTTTGATACGTGCCCCTAGCGGAAAACAAACCCAGGACTCTCTGGTCCACAGGCCAATGCTCAAACAGCTGAACCAAACCGGCCAGGGTGATAGCACAGTTATTAAAGGCCAAGTTATGAAGACCATATGAGGAAAGAAATCAGTCATCCCTACCTTGACCAATGGTTGCAAATGTTATAGGAACAGATGGTAGTGAAAGTGCTTTGGAAACCGCTTGCAGTTAACTACACGTGTTAGTTGTGGCTCTCATGAGGAAACTGGAAAAGTTAAGGAGTCGAGTTCATCAAACTCCATTTGCTAAGTCTTGAACCTACCACCCATCATTGATAACCTGGGTGCTCTAAAGGATCCACAGTTTGTGTGGGGGAAGGGAAACTAGACTAGGAACATGAGGCCAATTGTGATAACACCCTTTCAAAGAAGACTGAAGAGGTCCAGAGTGAGAGAACAGGTAAGGGAAAGGAAGGAGGCAGTCTGAGGAAAGGCCCTGTACGTGTCTGCTAGAGCTGCCGTAACCAATAACCACAGGCTGGGGGCTTAAACAACAGAAATATATTTTCTCACAGCTCTGGCAGTGGAAAGTCTGAGATCAAGGTGTCAACAAGGTTGGTTTTTCCTGAGGCCCTTCTGCTTGGCTTGCAGAAGGCTGCCTTCTGCCTGTCTTCTGTGAATGTAGGGAGACAGAGACAGAGATCTCTGGTGTCTCTTCCTTTTCTTATAAGGACACCAGTGTTATAGGGTCAGAGCCCTATCCTAATAGACTCATCTAACCCTAATTACCTCCTTAAAGGCCCAAGTACATTGTAGATCCAGGCTTCCACATATTAATTTTTGGGGAAAATAATTCAGTCCATAACAGAATCCATGGTGAGGATCCACAGCAAAGGGAAATAACAAGTCTGGTCTGAGGATACTGGGGAACATGTGTTCCAGCCTTGTGAGCAAAAAGGATGGATAGCAGTGCAGCTTTGAGTTCACCAGCGGCCATGGAACCACTACCATCTAGATGACAACCCTAGATACCATCTAGATACCATCTAAATGACAACCCAAGGGCTTCAGGAGGTAGCTGAGTGGGCATGGTCTCCTCTGGCTCACTCATAGGCATGTAACCCCCTTCACACTGCTAATTGCACCCTGGCCCATCCCAGGCTGTGGAGCCTGGAGAGATAATGCTATGTCCACCCTGAGGAAAATGTCAAGCCCCTATGGTTTTTAATCCTTTGGAGCATTTTAACCCAGATGCCTCCTGCTTGTACAGTAGTCCCCCCTTATCCACAGTCTTAGTTACCCATGGTCAACCGCGGTCTGAAAATATTACATGGAAAATTCCAGAAATAAACAGTTCATAAGTTTCCAATTGCATGTGCTGTTCTGAATAGTGTGATGAAATCTTGTACCTTCCTGCTCTGTTCCACCAGAGCCATCAATTATCCTTTGGTCCAGCATATCCACTCTGTGTAAAATATTCACCCGTTGGTCACTTAGGTTATTAGGTCAACTGTTAGAGTAGCCGTTACACTTTGCTTAGTAATGTCCCAAGCGCAAAAGGAGGGAAGCTGGCAATTGAGACACGCAAAAGAGGAGCTAGTGTGCTGCGTTTACGTGAAAAAGTAAAAGTTCTCTACTTGATAAGGGGAAAATCTTATGCTGAGGTGTAAGACTGAATTTTCTATTCATGAAATTGTGAAGAAAACAAACAAGAAAAAAGCCATACACACTAGTTTTGCTGTCACAACTTTGCTTAGGATGGAAAAGGCATTAAATTTGAGGGTGGGAGACATGAACAGAAAATGTGTTCCCATTGATGGCAGTGTGCTGGCCAGAACGCAGAGCCTATAATGAAGACTTCAGTAAGGGGTCCCTCTGAAATGAGTGACACTCTTTACTGCAAATAAGGGAAGGATACAGATTCACAATAGGTTTGGACTTAAAAATATAAAATTAATGGAAAGACTGTATCTGCCAGTGAAGAAGCTGCTGCCACATTCCTGGTAGAGTTAAAGAAGCTAATTCAAGAGCTTGTTACTATCTGTGGTTTCAGGCGTCTACATAACCACAGCTTCACTGCCCTGCGCCTCCTCCCCCTTCTCCCCACAACAATCCAGTACTGGATGGGGGAAGGGAGGGGTGTTAACCCCCTTGGAGGAACAATACCCCGTAAAGCTGCCCAGATGACCATACTTACAATGTCTCCCCTTTGCGCTCCTCCTATATTAATATTAACTAGCTAATTACGATGATAACACATGGACCCAGTCCAACAGCATTTGTTATGCAGAGGAGGACACCAAAAAACAAAAAAATAGACTTAAGAGTTTGAAGGTGAATTTACATATCTTAATCCCAGCCCAGAGTTTTCTTGTATTTCATGCTGCTTTTCCTTGAAGGTTGTGGGGAGCAGAAACGAAAAGAAATTAAATGAATGTGTATCTTGAAAAACATCAGTACTACAGATTGATCAGAACTGAAGAGAGAGAATCACTACAAATACAACACAACTTCACCAACAATCTATTTGGGAATGAAACATGAAGGTCTGAAAAGTCCAAAGGCATTATTTTAAAGAGAGTCCTTTAATACTTGTCAGTACATGATAATTAAGTACAGAGGTCCTTATGACACAAGCCTTAGTTAATTAATGAGAATACTTTAAAATTTAGATCAATCATTTGTAAAAAGGAACTTGAAAGGTGCTTGTCGTAATTTTTTCTCTTAAGTACTTTAACCATTTCCCCCTAACATTGTGTTTATATACCCAGTTTGCTTTAAAAACACTTTTACATTTAATGCTAAAAAGTGAAATGTCAAATCATCTCATGGCCAAATGATCAGAAATTCAGAATTAGTGGAAACTTTACTCTATGCACACCTACCATGAGAAGAAGGGCAACAGTTTTTTTTGTGGGATCCCTATCTATATAAACAATTTGAGTCAGCCAATGCCAGCCCATCAGCATCATTCTGGCTGCTTAATGTCATCTGATCCCATGAAAAAGTTTGGTACCAGCCAATGAGAATGAGATGTCTGCCAGGCAACCCTCCAGGTTGACCCTACTGTGAGAGACCCAGAGCTCCAGGCCACCTGGTCAACCCCAAGCAAGGGATAAGGGCAGAGGATCTGGAGACTTTCCCAAAAGGGTCACATGTCCTTAGACCAGGCTCGGGTACCCGCCCTAACAACACTGCTGCTTCCAGCCTCCAGGCAGGGTCTGGCTTGCCTGAATCAAAGAGTGATACTGACTCTATAAGTCAAAACAGCAAAAGATATGCAATTTTTCAGAAATATTTCTCTGGGCAGTAAATTAAACTTGGAATTGAAAATCAAAAGAGAGAAGACTTCCATTACTGCCAGGCCTGCATTTTGAATATCTTTGATGGGAACAACTTGAGTTTCCTGCTTTACACATTAC